GGGGCAGGTGTGCAAAGCTCTGTGGAGGGAGGGGAGTCAGGGGACATCAAGTTCACTGAGGATTTCAGAGGGCATGTCAAGAGCAGCTGGGACCCAGCCCTGCCCTGGAGGTTTACATCCTCCCCAGGGAGACAAGTCTCATGAAGCAGGAGGGATCAGTCCACACCATGTGTTCACTCTTAATTCTTTTTTTTAAGGTTTCCCTCCCCCCCATTTTTAATTTTACTTCTTATTTGAGAGAGAGAGAGCACATGCGTGTGTGCAGAGGGGTAGGAAGGGAGGGGCAGAGGGAAAGGGGGAGAGAGAGAGAGAGAGAGAGAGAGAGAGAGAGAGAGAGAGAGAGAGAATCTTAAGCAGGTTCCACACTTAGTGAGGAGCCTGATGAAAGGCTCAATCCCATGACCCTGGGATTGTGACCCTGAGTCAAAATCAAGAGTCTGCCGCTCAACCAGCTGAGCCATTCAGGTGCCCCTTCCCTCTTGATTCTTAGGGGGGCACTAGCCAGGCCCTGGGGACTCACCAGCAGGCACAACCTGGCCCCTGCCCTCAGGGCACCAGGACCAGAACCCACAGCCTTGAGGGACCCTGGTGATTAATGCCAGGAGAGCATGCTTTTCATGCCTTGACGGCTGGGGGACTGGGATTGGGCGGGGGCACTCAGCAGGGTCGGGTGGCAGTCTGGAGAAAAGGCAGGCTCGGGTCTGGTGAACAGTCACCCCTGTTCCTGCAGCTTTTCCTTAAGAACCTGGATGAAGTGGCCCCCACAGTGTGGATGTTTGGCCAGATGGTGCAGACTCAGCATGTCCGGGTGTGGCCCCGTGTCCCCCACAGTGACACCAACCACAGCACCTCCCCGTGGGTGGAGCTGCTGGGCTGTGAGCCAGGTACGGGCAGGGCTGGCAGTGGGATCGGCGGGAGTGGGAAGAGGGACAGACAGGAGCCCTCAGCCCTCCTCTCCCACCAGTGTCCCCGCTGGTGGTGCCCCTGTGCCCAGGGGCTGGGCACCGCTGTGCCAGTGGTGAGTGTGCCCCAAGGGGAGGCCCGTGCGATGGCGTGAAGGACTGTGAAGATGGCTCTGATGAAGAGGGCTGTGTGCCCCTGCCCACAGACACTGGCAGGTACGGGTGCCCAGCTCAGCCTTGGAGGGGTCAGCCACGGGAGAGATGTCCTGCACTATTTCCCTGGCCTTGCGTGCTGCGTCAGTGCAGCTGGGTGCCTTTGGAGGCCCCTTCCCACCCCGGGATTCTAGGATCCTCTGCCATTTTCCTAGAGTCTGGAGGTCACTGGTTCTCAAAATGTGGCCCCTGGACCAGCAGCAGCAGCGTCACCTGGCAATTGTTAGCAATGCAGATTATCAGGCCCGAGCTCAGCCGGGCTGAGCTGGACACTCGAGGGTGGGGCCCAGAAATCTGTTTTACAAGCCCTGCAGGGGGGTTAATACGTTGAAAACCACTGGGATAACATCTCCTTTGTCTAGTCTTAGTGGGCGTGCCCTTTTGGAGTGCCCCAGCCCTGCCCTGCCCTGCCCTGGGCCCACCTTGGGAGCGCTGACCCCCCTGCCCGGGTGGTGGCTCTGAAGCTGGGAGAACCCCTGGAGTCCCTTCGTTATTTTTCTTCCCAGAGTCTGGTCCGCAGCCGGGACCCCAACTCTCTCCTCCACCCAGCCCGGACAGCTGTCCCCCCAGCCCAGCAAGGTGAGTGGGGAACTGTAGGCCCAGCAGGTGGGGTGCGGGGCATGGGGAGCCCTGGTCCCAGGGCCTCAGCAGCCACGTTCCCTCGCCCTGCAGTCTCCCTCTCTTTGCACCTTCAGCCAGCGCTGCCTCCCCACGTGTCCCTGGTCTGCTCTCGCA